TGGTTGGACCAGTTTGCATTCCCACCAGCAGTGTAGGCGCATTCCTTTTTCTCCACATCCTTGCCAACATTTGTTGTTTCCTGCTTTTTAAAATATGTATCATTCTTACTAGTGTAAGGTAGTTGTGGTTTTGACTTGCATTTTCCTGATTAGAAATGGTGCTGAACATTTTTTCATATATCTGTTGGCTATTTGCATTTCCTCTTTGGAGAAGTATCTTTTTAGCTCTCCTGTCCATTTTTTTACTAGACTGTTTACTTTGTTTTTGTTGAGTTGTGTCAGCGCTCTGTAGAATTTTTTTGACCAGTCCCTTATCAGTAAGTAGCATTGTGTGCAAATTCCCCCCCCCCCAATCAGTAGCATGTCTCTTTGTTTTGGTTAGTGTCTCTTTTGCTGTGCAGAAACTTTTTAATTTGTTGTAGTGCCAGCTGTTCATGTTTTCCTTCACTTTCTTTGCCTCGGGGGACTTGTCATTAAAGATATTTCTGAGATGTATGTCATGTTGTGTCTTGCTTACATTTTCTTCTATATATTTTTATGACTTCAGGTCTTATGTCCAAGTCTTTTATCCATTTTGAGTTGGTTTTTGTGCACGGTGTAAGATAATAGTCTAGCTTCATTTTTTTCCCATCTAGCATTACAGCTTTCCCAGCACCATTTATTGAACAAACTGTCCTTTTGCCATTGCAGACTCTTGCACCTTTGTCAAAGACTAGTTGTCCATAAATATGTGGGCTTATTTTTGTATTTTTGAATTTCTCTGTTTTCATTGGTCTGTATATCTGTTTTTGTTCCAGTACCATACTGTTTTAATTGTTATGGCTTTGTAGCATTAGTTTGAAGTCTGGGAGGACACATGGTAACTCTTTATCTCTTAACTTGAACTTCAATTCTTGCTACTGTTACATTTTGTATCCATTTCTCCATTACTTGGAGGACTTGTAAACTTTTAAAGTTGTGTGGATAAGAACACCTTTGAGCTGAGCATAGTCACTGAGCCTAACCTACTGGATAGATTGGTAGGTGAGAGTAAGAGGAGTGTGAGTAACATGAAAAAGCAAAAAGAAAGACAATAGTGCAAGAAATAAAACTGCCAAGTGGACTGATCATTAAGCTGGTCACTACATTCTTTTCTAGGGTTAGAAATGTGTTTTGGAAATAACTTAATTTTAAGGGTTGTTCCAGCAGAGTGGAATTTGACTTTATGGGATCTTATGAAGATGTGAATGTTGGATCAGTTACTTTTCCCTTAAAAACACACACAAACACAACAATATTGGATGGACAGATTGTTGTATGAATGAGCTTCATGGTATTAATATGGGCACTTATTGATTCGTCAGTATTTATGGTTATGAGTCTCTATGGAACCCCTCTTCCAGTAGCAGGGATGGTCTCTGCAGGCTGAAGTTGCCAATGAAGAAAGATGGCATAGCATCCACTACCTGGTTTGCTTTTGCATTCTAAGATGACCTTTAATTTTTCAAATTTAGATGTGTTCCTAAATGTCTATAATTAAAAATCTTTACTAAGTGCTTTCATTTTCAGCTGTCTTGATTTGGGAAGTGAGTAGTTTTCACTTTTTAAAATCTAGTGATAGTACATTGTGGTCAGAATGTTCTCCCTGTCTGTTTTCTTCTTTTTGTCATTTATGAGATGTTTCTTTAAAAACAATATTTGTATCTGTTTTGGGTACTATTTTCATAGACATTAAACTTAGAGCACTGAACTCTACACAACTAAGAGAGTTCCTTCTTTGGTTCTGGCTTGTCTTACCTTTTCATTTTCTACTTTTGCATATCCCTCTGGGACTAGGTGATGAGTTCCCAGAGGTTGGGAGCAGCATAGCTCTGAGGGCAGTTCCAAGACCTTGCATTACTGGAAAAACCCTGTGTTTGGACTGATAAAATTAGGCCATCTTTGTTCACAGGTGAAAAAATATTTTTTTGAGTCGGTTGTTTGAAGAAGAGCTTCCCTCTCCCACTTCCTCGCCCTCCCATCTGTTTTTTTCTTTGGTCACTACCAACTACTGAAGTTCTTGACTTTAAGGAAAAGAGGCCACTTTCGAAGAATTCAGTCTGATAAAGTATGAAGTATAGCTTATTATTGATTATCACTCTCTGGGGGAGGGACTGTCTTCCAGGGAAGATAGAAAGGGTTCAGCATGAGACTGAATTGGGAGCAAGTTACACGTTGATTTCTTGACTTCTTTCTCTATGTTTCTGTGGTATAGACTTTGTTGTTACTCTTTTACTGAGTTTGAATTTTACTTATAACATAGAGATGAAAAATTCTGGCTCTGGAACCAATTTATCTGGCTTTGAATTTTGTGTCACCTGCTTATTATTTGTATGACTCTGGTCAAGCCACTGAATCTCTTCTAGGTCCTTGTTTTCTTTGCTGTTTCTTACTCCATTGTTTGCTTTCAAGATTAAATGAGCTATAATATGTGTAAAGTACTTAGAATATTATCCAATGTATATACTGAATAAAGTTCAGTAAACTTCACTGGGCAGGTGGATAGCCTGCTTCCCATTATCTGTGACATTACATCAGTGTGGATAAGTAATGAACTTCAGCTGTCTAACATTTTAGAAAAGGACTAAATTAATTGACTGCATTTTTTAAATAGCCAAATATGTGAATCTCTCGAGTATTACTGCAGTGACCAGAGAGGTTAATTGTTATCTCTGCTTAAATGATGGTTTGCCTTTTGCAAACCTTATTGTTTATGGATGCTTTCATAATTCATGTGTTGAGTTAAGGTGTTCTTGTATCAAAAATGGATTATTTAAAAGTACTCCTGGCCCTCCCTGGTGGCGCAGCGGGTTAAAGCACAGCACTGAGAAGCTAAAGCCACTTCCGCATGAGTTCGATTCCTGCCTGCCCCGGAGGTGACCACATGGCGCGGCAGACCTCTCCTGACCCGCCCGCTGCTCCCCTCAGCAGTGTACTTTGTCGATCAGCCTGTTCTGCTCCCCCTCTGTGAAACCTCTCACCCTCCACATCTCTAGCCTGTACCCCAGTTCTGTATGAATAAATAAATTAAAAAAAAAAAGTACTCCTAAAGATTTTAACTTTAATGTTACATAAATATGACTTTTCTTATTCTCTATGCACTTTAAACAACTCCATTCAGCTTCCAGGTATGGGGTATACCTTAGACCTTAGAAGACATCAGTATTTAAATATAATGGTCCTTCATGTGCAATTAGCCATTGAACTGAGGATATATACAATTGTGTTCATAAGCAGCCTTGTTTGGTTTTGTTGACTCATCTCAAACATCTGAAGCATGTTAAGGAGAAAGTTTGGTTTGATTAAAGTTAGGAGCATGGAATAAGACATATCTTATCATTTAACTTAAGTCCAAAGTTTGATTGGAAGATGCACCAACCCTTTGGGAGGTGTAAGAGGGAGGGCTGAGGGGTGTAAGAAGGGAAACTTAGGAATAATTTTGAAATTTACTACTTGTTTTTATCAGAGAAGCATGATGCTGTAAACTTCACAGATATTGACTACTTGTTACTTACTCCCTTACATCTTGTAGAGAAATCTGTGTTTTCAGGTGTCCCTGTCCTGTCCATTTGCTTTTAAGGTACCCCAAGATTGATTTCATCAAGCACTGTTTTTGGACACTTATCTATGAGGTTGGGTGTTTGAGCACCTGGGTTGTGAGGTACAGGAACTAAAGAAGGTTGTTGAGAGGACGATGTGGACTGTATATTGGTAAATAGATTACTTACTCCCTTCCTTCGGGGTGGAAGGAAGGTGCACTCGAGTAAGGCTAGTAGTTGAGGGTGGTTGCAAGCAAATGGGCTAAATATAGTTAAAGTCTTTCTTGAGTAGGATGAAGGAGATCTAAGAGTGTGGTTAGAGACCTAGGTGCTGTGACAAGTTGATTACCCAGTGATTGTCTCTTTCTTTTTGAAAAATGGAAAGTAGTAATATAATGCTACTTCCTACATTTAAGAGTGTTCTGTGGACCAATGAGTTAATTGCCTTGGATGAAGGTAGCAGCAACCTACACTGGTCATAATTTCATTACCTTTCCAGGGAAGTTCATTTGGGGAATAAAACTGCAGAAAGAAGATAGGTTTGGAACCTGCTATGTATAGTTGAGGCCAACTGAATTTCAAATTCAACTAGAGATAAAGTTACCATTCTAGCCGGGGGAATTTAAACTAACCTAAAATTTCTACTTAAAATTTAGAAATGACACTAATCCAGATGTCTGACTTGCTGTTTATAGAAAAGAACAGATATTTAGTCTAAGAACATATTAACAAAAAATATTAGGGTTTTTCTCTCACTATAAGGGAAGAAGATGAGTCAAAAAGGGGGAAAAATGGAAGCATAGATTTAAGTAGAACTTGCTCTTACTGTTCTGTAATTAATAAAGTTGTTTTTGAGAAAGTTCGTATCACTTCATTTTGTTAATTTTTAAAGTTTCTTTGACAAAGAAACCTATAGATATTAACCAGAACAAAACAAAAAATATAAACACACACATGCACAACAGTTGCTTTAAATTCTAAGGATGTCAGCATGAAATTAATATAAATTGACTGACACTTCTACTCTGAAAATTTTAAAACTAATTAAAACCAACAATAAAACTTCTGGCTTTACCTTGTAGTGGAAAGTTTGACCTTTTTCAGTGTTTTTGGCTTATGGGTGTTGATGCTGGGTGTTTTTGGTTAAAATTTGCTTCACCTCTGTAATGGCTGCTGGGATGTTGGTCAATCTGTGGTTGCAAAACAGCAAACGCTGTCAATTGTGTTGGTTACCATGTAGTTTTCAAAGATAAATTCTCCAAGTAGTGGGTATGGGCTTCCTCCTTCCCTTGTGTAATTGTTTAAAAGAACACCATTGTCATGTGAATTTTCTTTCTTTCTTTTTTTTTTTCTCCTTTGAGCTTGTTTTGAAGTAACTTTCAGAGAATTCCTGTTACCTAGAAATTGATGACAGACTTACACCATTTCCTTTTTTTTTCTTAGACGTTCCATCCTCAGAGCAGCCTGAACTGTTCCTAAAGAAACTTCAACAGTGCTGTGTCATTTTTGACTTCATGGACACGCTATCTGATCTTAAAATGAAAGAATACAAGCGCTCCACTCTTAATGAACTGGTGGACTACATTACAATAAGCAGAGGCTGTTTGACAGAGCAGACTTACCCTGAAGTAGTTAGAATGGTGAGTTTCCTTTTTTCCGCCGCGGACACTTTCAAGCATCTTCCATAGCAACTCACAGGTGTATTTATTGCAGAGTCAGGTCACTGGAGGTTACCTCCACAAATGAGAGCCAACCTTCTGAGAGCTAACCAGAAGTAATTGGCACAGTACTAGAATTTGAAGAGCATGATTTCATAAGATTGAAATCCACAACTTTGTACCTGCAACTGTATCGGAGGATTCAATGACTTCAAATTATGATGCCAAGATTGCCAGGGTATTACTGGATTTCTGGTGTTGGGAAAAGAAAAGACACAGGAGAATCATCAAATGTTTTAGATGTGTGTTTGAAAATTATGCAAGTCTGGTAGATTTTTTGACACCCCCCTCCTACACCCCCTGTTCATTGTGGTATGTTAGAAGTGGCTTTAAGCTTAATAAAATTGTGATTTGTAGAATCTAGTTAAAGCCATGTTGGGCTTTATAAATTAATGATTCTCTTTAAAATCTTGAAACCGGGGTGATGTCTTCCATTATTTTTAAACAGCAACTTACACTTTGTGTGCTAATTAAGAGTTATGAGAAGAAACATTATTAGCATAATGCAAGTAATTGTGTTTTTATTGTGTCAATAATTATATTAGTTTTTTTTCCACAAGCCAGACCAAAGTGTGATTTTCTGTTAGATTTCTGTGGGAGAGTAGCTTCCTTGGCATCCTAGATCATGGATCTAGAGAGCATGCTCTCTGGGGGAGAAGAGTTGGTCTGCTAACACCTGAAATGATGCCACAGCAATCCAGAAGGATCTGTGCATCATTGGGAAGCCTCTTGCACTATCTGGCCGCTCTGTGTACTGGTAAAAATTAGTTTTTCTGTTTAACTCTTATAATTTATATTCAACAAATGCAGAAAAGAAGCATCTGTGATGGAGTAAATGTGATTAAAAATGAATAGTTCAGATTTGGGAAGGATCCTCACAGTTTGAGAAACTATCACTGATATGTGGGTATCTTTTCAAAATGTTTAATATACTCCTCAGATCCATACTTGAGTGTATGTTGCATTTGTTATTAATTTCAGGGACTGTAATCCTAGAATGTTTTGTATTTTGACTACTAGTATTGTGTCTCTTGAGCAGTGGTTCTTAACTGGGACAGCTGTGCTTTCCATGCCCATTGCCAATGCCTAGAGACATTTTTGGTACCAGCATGTAGCAGAGAGAGGCCAGAAATGCTCTTGAACATCTTACAATGAACAGAGCAGCCACCACAAAAAGAATTGTCTGGCCACACATGTTAGTAATGCCTTTGTTGAAAAACCCTGCTCTAGAGTCTGCATACTAGCTAAACCTCTTAACCTGGGCCTTAGGATCTATATTAGTTCACCTGCCTTCTGCGGAGTAATGTCACTTGGTTTTAACTGTTTGTCCTTAGCCAACAGTTGTTTATAACTTATTTCTTTATCTTTTCATGGGTAGTCTATGAATATGTAATCATTTATAACCATGTATAAATACTTTTTTCCTAAACACAGAAATGGTTCATAATCTCTCTGTACTTGTTTTCTTTTACTTAACAATGTATAATATATGTCAGTACATATAAAAGCTGCCTCATCCATTTTTATAGCCGTGTAATATTTTATTCTGTAAATAATTTATGTACCTAGTATCTATGAATAATACCCTTTACACATTTCAGTTTGCCCTTAAGTGTGAGAGTATCTGTATATTTACTGATTTGTTTTTTAATAGTCCTACTATCCCCCATTTCTGGACCTCTCATGTTTTTACTGCCCTCTTGCCACTAATTCTAACTGTGCCCTTCCTTTCAAGACCTAGCTTAAAGGACTTGCACTGTTTACTGAGAAGCCCAGAATTTCCTTTGCCTTTCAGTTCTGCTCTCCCTTGCAACTTACCCACTTGCTATTTGTTCATTCGCTGCTTTTTTTTTTTTGAATATTGCACACATTTATCTAATCTCCCTAATTAGATTTTCAGCACTTTTAGGTAGGGAATGCGTTCTGTACATCTGTGTAGTCTCCATATTGCTCCCTAGCCTGGAACTATTTGGAATTTGTTGAATGAGTGAATGCCTCTTAAGATGTGGGCATTGTAGCCTCTCATTTTATGATGATATTGGATGTCACTGGATTATATTTAGTTTATAAACCCCGTATTTAGCATAACTCAAAAGGTCTTTCATTTTTATGAACCAGCTTGATCCCAAATCAGTGTTGACTGTGAAGAATTTTTGCTATTTGGGGGCATTAATAATTGAATATTCTAGATGTTAGTTTAGGATTCTTAGAGGTTTATTCATTTTTCATATAATGACTTTTAAACTGCTAATTGCTAATTTACATGGTTCTTACACAGTCTGGGACTTACATGGCTCTTACACAGTCCGGGACATTACGGAGAAGGACACCATGTGGAGTAGAAAGAAAAGGGGCATTCGTTAGACCCTGGATCAGGTGCCAGTTCTGCCCACGTTTACTTGCTCTGTCACAGTGGATGGAGCCCTCCGTCTTTTGGACCTCAGCTAATAGGTCCTTAGGATTAAGGGAAGGGTGGCTATCATCTAACCCTTCTTGCCCTTTAAATAGTTCAACAAAGTAAAATTGTGTTTTGTTTGTATATAAGGTAGGGTGCTTAACACTCTGGAAGGATGGTTAGAACCAAATCCCCACATGGCGCCCTCTTTATTTTCTCCATTTTGCCACATCTGAGCCCCTTGTGTATGTATATACACTGCTCACTTGTCTGTCTCATACCTGTCTTTTGGGTATTTGTGAGCCTTGGTGGTGATGTGACTTGTAAAAGAGTCCCTAACATATGATAAATAATCAATAGTAGTTTTTACAGTTTTTTGCTAGATATTTGATTTTGCAAACAAAGTGCCAAAGATGTACCATGTCCCATTGTTTCAGTGGTTCTTGAATTCTGCAATTCCAACTTGATCCAAACCGTTGAAGTCACTGTTCTCACCTTTTCCTCTGTATAATGCAAATTCTACATTTGATTAGTGAGGGAAATGGCGGTGTTTTAATAACATGCCAATGAATTGATTGCTGGGTTTTATGTGCCAGGGTGAGTCATGCTTTCTGATTGCATGTGCTGGTGTCAACCATGTTACCCGAAGCCTGTGATCCAACCTGTTCCTGGTAGGGAAAGAAAAGTGGAGTTGTAGAGATCATTTTTAGCATTTAAATGTAATCTGGATGCCTCATACATACTGCTAGAATGAAGAAAGAAAACTATTTCTTTTGTGTAAACATAATAAAACAAATACAATGCAGCACCTAGCTTACCTGCAGAGGAATAGTACAGCTAGTGGAAAGAACACCAGACAGGGCATGCGCACGGCCCTGTCCTCATTTCTCTTCTTCTGCGTGACTAGTGTTAAGATCTTTGGTAAGTTCTCTCTAAGCCCTTTTCTCCTTTAATAAAGGGAGTAGAGGATGATCTCTCTCATTCTTCCTACTTTGAAAGCTACCAGTTCTTTTGGTCACACATACCTTCTAAGAAATATGTCATGGATTCTGCCATTCTTAAAGTTTGCAGATCATGCTCCAGAGTAATTACTTAGGTAAGTGGTTCAGTTCATTTATTTCTCCTGGGTCACATCTGTTGGAAAACAAGAGCCAGGACTTCTGGTTCCTTTAGGCTTTGGCGCACTGTGCTTTGTATCATTTCAAGTGTCAGGCTTCTGTCCTTGAGGCATTATTTTTTACCACATTATGCTAATATTTTCTTTTGGTTCTCCTGCCATGCATCCCTTTCAAAGATATCTTAGAATTTTTCTGGCTTTCAAAGTACTCTCTGTTAATTTATTTTCACCTGTACTCAAACTTAAACTTTTTATACATAATACTCTTTATATTCATACATCTTCCTTCTAAAATATAACTCTTTGGTGGATAGTTGAGAATGTGAGATGAAAACATGTCAATGAAGGTATAGTTTTAATGAATTCCAGGTAATGCCATTGATTGGCTTAAAATCACATTTTTCACATTTTGGTGGTAAAAGAAAAAGATAGTCTCCTGTTTCCTGTTTTATCAACAGAGAAGATAATTGAACAAATAATAAGATAATGTCATGTATGCACATCAAAATTACATGATGTTTAAATAATACACAGTAGAATTAGGAAAAAGACAAGGAAGGAACAGAGAGAAAGGGGGGATTAATTGGAGATATGTAGAAGTAGTTAAGGAAGGCTTTTACAAAATAAACAAAGCCCTTTAGTGGGCATGTAAAGGTGAATTCAAGCTTTACAGGTAGCTGAAATAGTATTAAAATAAAAGAGAAAGTTATATAATATAAAGGAATTTCAAAACTATCTGATATATTTAGAGAAACACAGAATATGACTATGAAGTTACAGGTGTGTGTAGGGGAGGTGAATGGTGACAGTTAAAGATGTAGATGCAGGCCAATCCCCAAGGGCCCTCACTGGTATGGATCACCACTGAACAGTTTTAAGCATGGCTAGATTTGCATTTTATGATGGTGGGTCAGATTGGAAAGAGGCCGAAATTGAAGGCAGAGAGGAAGCAATTAAGGAGAAATGTGGAGGGTCTTACCAAGTACAGGTTGGCACTTGAGACTCAGTAAGAAAAACTGATGTTAGTGAGCATTTGTGTGGCTGTTTGGAGTGACAAAGAGAAAGGGGTCTGGGGTACATTCAGGAATTAGGTAACTTGTGGTGCTGTTTGAGAAAGGTAGAGCAGGGGGAGAACATGTTTTGGATAGAGCCTGAGGAGTTGATCTTTTATCTATCAACTTTGAGCTTGTAGGGTATGGGAAGTTGGAGGTGGAGACAGACAATAATCAGCATGGGAGAGTATGCAGGGGAGGAAAGAAACCACGATGTGATTCCTGCTGTCCTGGGGAGTCACTGTGCCCCATGCGGGGCTGCAGTTGGGAGCCAGTGGATTGAGGAGTGCATAAAATAAAAGGAAGTTGATATGGAGACTGTTGACACTAATTCCACTTCCAGTGTTAGAGTCTTGGG